GCCTGACAGTTCCACTGAATCCAAATATTGCAACAGAGATACATTCTGTCAAAATGTTTCCAAGAAAGACTAACAAGAATACCATTTGAGTGAAAGTAAAAGGAGTAACTCAATCACTTTTCCATTAAGATAGCAGCTAACATCTTGTTATACAGCTTTTTGTACACAAATTTACAATGAATCCTTTCAAGCATTTTTGCTCACCATCTGCACTCCAAACCATCCACAACACACACAAGTTCTAGACACAAAATAAACTTGAATGGCCAAACAGAAGAAGAATGTTGAGGAAAAAAAAAAAAAAAAGGAAATTAAATCAAGAGGGGAGAAAATATAATTTCTAGCACTTTGTGTTTGGCTAACCCTCAGTGAAAGTCTGCCAGCCATTTAATTAGAAATGTCAAATCTTCACAAAACAAGATAGTGGAACTGTAGCTGCTGAGTTCAGAACAGCATCATCAAGTACAGTGTAAGCAGAGAGTTCTCTGTGGGATTCTGCTCCATGGAGGCTGCTGGCCTGAAGAAGAAAGACTCAAGACAAGAAGGAAAAAAAGAAAAGGGGGGTGAGAGGAAGCAGGAAAAAGTGTAACTATGAGAACAAGCAAGCTGTAATGGAAGTTCAGGGTGGGCAGGGGTCTGCCTAATGTCACTCAACACATTAACGGAAGGGTAAAGAAGAAAACAGATCTCCTGAGTGCTTGTCCTATAGGCAGCACAGGACTGCAGTCACCCCACTGACACATGGGCAGCACCACTGTCTGTTAAAGAGCTTTTGAGTCTTGTGGGCTGAATTTTACCAGCCCTTTAAGGATTTTTAAAACAAAACCCAAAACCTGAGAAGGCTGACAAGGCTAGCACAGGTAAGACTGAAATATGCCGAGTACCTTGCGAGTGTAAAGCAGTTGGAGAGGAACTAGCACATAGCAAAAAAAGAGTCCAGCCACCCACTGCTGGAAGGTCTCCAAGAAAACCCTGTACCTGAGACATAAGTTAGGGCTGGACTTCAGACATGCCTTGCCCTGGGTCTTTTGCAGTCTAGAGTTAAGAGTTAGTATGTTTGTCTGCAAGCACGAGGAGACTGAGATGAGAAGTCCAAAGAAGAGGCCAATGACTGTCACTGTCCCCAGGCCCAAGACGGGTTTTCAGAATTCACTTGCAAGGTGACTTCCAGCCATCCTAAGATATCTCCTTTGGAGTTAGTTAAATTAAAACTCCTGATCTGCCTATGTTTTGATGTATTAAACATCCACGAAAGGCATTTGATAAAGTTCTAGGGAAGGCATTTCAGTGCTAAAAAGGTAAACTTCTGCAGACTAGAAGTGAACAGGTCTGGGAAAAGTAGAACCACTGTTAAAATCCTTGGGATAAGCAAGAAAATAAAAGCCAGGTAAATGCTGCTGAAGAAAAACCAAAACACAGAAGCACACCCTGGGGGCAACCCCATTTTATGAATACCACAGAGACTATCTGCAGAGTGATTTTATATATAGACACATATATATGACACACATTTACACAAACACATTTTATTTTGAATCCCAAAATAAAGCTTCTACACAGGTGCTAAAGCAGGCAAATAATTACTCTCACTTCCTAGGATTTAGAGGAAGTCAGTATTGAACAAAGATTTTGTTATTACTACAGCAAAATAATGCTAAGTGATATCAATGATCATAAGTAGAAGGTCAAAAAGTGTAAGAGCAATCACATACTTACCTGGTCTGGCAGAGAACACCTAGAAGTTATGGGGAAAACTATAAGCTTTATAGCCAGGATTCATATTAATCAGATTTCAGTTGCATAAGGAAATAATTTTTCCATTGTCCATAACACAACATTTGAAAGTTATTATGGTAATTGACCCTCAGGACAGATCCTTCTGAAAAAAGCCTGCTAGTTTGTTGAAAGGGTACATCCTATGCATATACAATTTGATAATTACTAAAGATCTTGAAATACATTTTTTTGGCAATGAAACTCATAGTGTAAAAAATTACCTTTGTCTAAAGCCTGACTTGTTTTGCTTTATTTTTGAAGACAGGCTTATTAATTCAATTCTAATTTGAAAGATTAAAGCTTGCTCCCTAAAGCACTTCATGGCATAACAGTAGGATTTAAGAGTGAATAAGCAAATAATTGATTGTATATGGCACACATAAAGAGATCACAATAATTCAAAAACAATGTTCCAGTTTTAAATAAGCTAGTAATTTCATTTCCTTCAACATATTAACACAATCCATTACTGTAAAATATGCCTTCCATCATTTTTGTTTATGTGGAATTTAGACTGTTTCATTCCTATAAGGCAGGAAGAAAACAGAATTCATGAGCAGATTCATTTTTATTAAAAATAAATGTTTAGCATCTAAGCCACCACAGCACTGTGGTAATTACGTTCAATTTATGCATCATGGAACTACTTCATGCATCAAGAAGTACTATGGTGACATGCCTTTTTATCAGCAGACTTAAGAAGTGACTTAATGTTTCCCTGGATTTTCAGCATTTCCATTTCTTCATGGACTTGCATGGCTTATTTTCATCTCAACTTTAAACATTTTCCCATGTTAAAAGAAATAAATAAAATTCAATGGGATCATTAGCTTAAGAAGCTACTATAGTACAAGAGACATTTCAAAGGACTGTCCCCCACATTTTGCTACATATTCCAAAGCCTTTTTTACTTAAAATTACTTTAGATTGACAAGTGTAATTTGTGTGATTTTTTTGGCATTAATTCTATGTTCTGTCAGGTTTTATTTTTATTTGCTGTTACTTTTTCATTTGTTTCATATACAGATATAAATTGAAGAGAGTAATATTTTTTTTTTTCCTTAAGAGAACTAGAATAAAACAAATTTGATACAGATGCAATATGATTATTTTCTGAAAAAAATATATAAAAATTAACCATCAATTAATAGATGTTAACTGTACTTTGAACTTAGCTCTTGTAATGTTTTTTCACATGGCATACTTGTAGCATTGTTGAAATTACAGAAGGTTTAAGGTTACTGGAGAAAGCTACTAGGGACAGTAATAGGTATGCCAAACCAACTCCAAACAAACTTTCATTCTCAAGTCAACTGGAACACAATGGGTTATAAAGAAATGGTATGTATCTGGCTGTGTCATGCTGTGTAATGAATATATAATGGAGGAGGAACTACCTCAGCAACATCAAATAAGGTGCCAAATATCAACAAAATTACAAGTCAGCTATGCATCTCAAATCTGTTCTCTCACAAGTGTCCAAAGCTTTCCAAAGAAAGGCTAATAAATCTACTTATGTACACAATAAGAAAATGTAGAATAAAGAATAAAAACTTACTGTGATCCAGTGAAGTTCTCCAAAATGAGGTTCAAACTAACCAAAACCAAAAAGATTATTGACTTTCAAAACCTAGGACTAGGATCTTGCTCCCACTGAAGTACATGGCAAGTGTCCATTGATACCAGTATTGTAGGAATGATCTCTAATACTGCAGTTTAATGTCTAACCTATATTACTGTCATTTTTTGGCACAATTCAACTTGGAATGCAGTAGCGTGATATGAAAAGAGTGTTTTGTTTGCAAACTTGGAATGAAATCAGACTTGGACTAGATTGCACAATAAGGAAGCCAGCAAAAGGGAATTTGACACTCACCATTCTGGCAGGAAAACTTCAGTTTCTCAAAACCAGATGATTAAATATACTTTGATATTGTTTTTCGACATTAAAATCAAAAGGAAGCAAACATAAATGTTAAGCTGTGCCAGATGACTGGGATCCTGGGTTAATGATCATTACCTTCTTCAAAGTCATTTGAAGCTAGTAATAAAGCTAGCAACTAAAAGTTCTGCAGATTTAAAATAAGTCTCAGTGGCTATGAAACAGAAAAGCTATTAATCCTTTGTACTAGCATGTTAAATCTCAAACTATCTGTGACAAATCCTGTATTTCTTCTTCTTTCTGAGCTATTACTGAATTAATTGGGAGTTCTCAATCTCTCTTCAGTGCAGTACTTAAACATATTCTCAACTTCATACACATGAGAAAACCTAAATCTTGATCTAAATTTGACTTAATTTTAAGTTAAGCAAAAATTTATGACAGAGCAGGCACTCTGGTGTTTTTTTGAACTAGGAACTTGTACAGCTGGGAAGGAGTCCCTCTGCCTTCTTTTGTTCACACAAGTGCTAAGGTCACAGCTGTGTGCCTTGATTTGAGAGCAAGAGCTCTCCTTTTGTCAAGTCATTGCTCAAGGATAGTACTTGTGGAGAGGAAAATGGAAAGAAACATGGCATGAATCAGATTCTTAACCTACTAATACAGAATAACATGATTAAAATATTTTCATTATTATTAACATAAGCATATCTAGAGAAGATCAAGAGGATCAAAATTAGATTTGGATAGTACATTTGTGCTCAATTCAGCCAGATACTAACGTTAGCAAATATTAACATTAATGATTAACTTTGTGCTATGGGAGTTAACACACTACACATGAATTCTGAAGTGCAACACTGGGTTTGGAAATATCTGTTAATCAAATGCAGGGCTATGGACCTTAATGTTTTGCTCACCCTACTTTAGATATATGACTTAGTCATGACTTGGCAATTCAATGATCATAAAGTCTTTGATCTGGTTCCTGAACTGTTAAATAGTATGAGTCAAAACAAAGTGGGAGAAAGGCTGTTTTAATGGAAGTTCTTTCAAACCGAACTGAGAGAAAGTCATCATCTTAATTTGTAAAGACTTTTGGTTGCCATCAATCAAAGACAGTGTAAATTCAATTACCTGAAGTTAGAAGGATCTACCACATGTTAATAATCCCTTGGATCAATTAACCCACTATAGTTTATTTATTCCCCGACAGAGTCATAAAAATGAGTCAGTGCTGGTTAAGAAGAAAACATTTTCTCCTGTTAAACAGTGACAGCATTTGCAAGTGGAAGGTAGCAAATACTACCAATTTACTACAAAATAAAAAAAATAAAACCTTTACCCTAATAAAGAGGATCTTCTCTCCAACTCTGTATCTTCCCTGGGAAAGACGCTCCACACAGAACTTATTTGGGCATTTACAAGGTGGGTCTTCAGAAATGTGTTTAACCTGAAAAACACAGAAGTTATTAATATAAACTTTTTTTAAGTAGTACATGCAGCAGAATATTAAAAAAATAAATAAATCATACAATATCACTAATCTAAGTCTTCATTGATGATGTTTTCTTAGTTTTTCTTAATTTTCTTAATATTTCTGTAATCTCAAACTCTGATGCTTCCAGTATCAACAATGCTTTTATAACTTTGATGAGGTACAACTAGAAAAAAATGCCACACAGTTAGACATAAAATTTGCACCATTTAACTGAAGCTAAATAGTTTGTTAATTTCAGTTCAGCTTCAAACTTTCATAGAAGTGTTCTAAATATTTTAGGGTGCATCAGCTCAACTTTCAAAGTGCTAATACAGCTGACAGTCAAAATGAAGATGTCATGACAATGTATTTCCCTTCTAAATAAACACAGTAAGTACTGAAGCATCTTATCAATTAAAGGCCCTGCCTAATACCTTCACTTGGCACCTTCAAATAGTGCACTAACACCTTAAAAAAGAAAAAGAATATTTTCAGAATAGCTATCAAATGGAAGTCTTAAAAACAAAACAAAAAAAAGGGCAAAGCTTGAATAATGAACAGGAAAGACTTCTGAAATAGTACAAATATTTTCAGATCTGCTTTTAGAATAAAGTTACTGTATGTTAAATAAACATGAAAGAAATTAAAAGTTAACCAGTTATTATTTCTATACTAGAATAAGGAATAAAAATTCTTTTGAAACTAGCCCTGTACACCACCTTAAAGGCTTTCCAATTATTTCATGAAATTGTTCATTGTTGTTATCTGAATAACTTTATTACTTTGTGGAATATTTTTAAATTATTATTATTGTTGTTCTTGTTATTATTAATTATTACTAGGGTTTTTTTTCCTTTTAAAATCAGGGCATATTATTTTTGTGAAAATTTTAGTTTTAAAATAACACTTAGCAGAGAAGCTCTACATGTATTATACACACAAAAAGTGTTCCTCAAGTATCAGATGATTTATCCTCATTTTGAATGTACAATCACTGAATTATTTTAAGATTAACTATATCAGGGATTTTTATCAGTGTGGGTGTAAGCCTCCATTTCCAAAGAACAAAATCATTTAAGATGGTCAGTGTATAATAGAAGTTGTTGGCTGACGACTTATATCCAAGTGCAGGTTGCTGAAGATGAAAAAGCTGCATTCCTGTATCTCTTGGAATGGGGTATCAAGACAGGGATTGTGCTTAGAGGACTTTCTGGCAATGGGCCTCTGAGAGCTGCCTGATAAGCACTGACTTCTGACATAATATCCTAGTTCATTTATCACCTCCAGGGACAGTCTTGAAATTTGAAGCTGAAAATGGGTAGCGTGAACTATGCCTTAATAGTTGTGTCTACAGGAGTTTATGTAAGCAAGGAAAAAGCCAGAGTGGCCACCAGGCCTATCAGGTTCAAGGTTGTTTTGAACCCTGTAAGCAAAATAGAGCCATCTTTGGCCTGTGGAGAAGGGAAGCCATCAGATTTATACTGGCGTGCAACACAAGATAAAAAGATCCTCACTGCTGATCCTGCTTTTGAGGCTTCCATTACCTTCCTATCCCAAAGGACACAGAAGTATTATTGAGTGGAATTTGGAAATCCAATAAGGAAGCAGTAGGAAGAATTATATCCTATTTTATTTTGTGTCTGGACTATATGAGCACTGCTGCTATTTTATGGTGTGAATGTCTGGGGCAGTGCAGGTCAGGAATCTTGCTGGATGAATTCCATGCTGTTTCTATCCCTAACTGCTTTCTAAATTAAAGGAGGTGGTTTGAGACAACCTTCATACTCTCTCTTCTGTTCCTGCAAGATACACAGTCACCACCCCCCTTCTACACGTAACTGTTATTTCTCAATTCTGTTGAAACATAAGTAAGTGCTTTTGCAAGCTGAGGGAGAAGTACAAAACATAAAAAATGTTAAATGTATTTATTTGCATCATATAGTACAAAGTATTTCAATAAAATGAACAAACATGATATTCCATCTGCTCTTTGTAACAAAGAAATGGCACATGGATTTTTCAAGAAGTGCTTTGTAACTCCCAGGTGACAGATCTACCTGGTAATACAGCAGTTACTATAGTAACTGCTGCTTTTTATAGAATATATTTGTACTTTTCAGTTTTAACCTCTTCATGGTCTCAAAATGTGTCCTTTTCATCTGATTCCAGCTGTTTCAAATGAACCCCTCTAGGGTGTGCAGCAGAGAAATGAACACTACAGCACAGTGCTGAGAGTTTAATGAAACTCTAAGCAGGACACTTTCTAACAATGAGGAAAAAAACGTTTAGATTTTTAGCACGTGAGAAACATACAGAACAACAGCATAAAAATTATGCTGAGAAAACTTAGAAGTGTTTGTGATCATTCTGTACAGGTCACTACAGGCCAAATCTCCTAGTCCTGACTCAGACCTTTCTCAGACAAAACACTAAGTGGGAGTTGGTGAATAAGAAGTGAACAGAAACAGAAAACAGAATAATAGGAAGGGAACTTGGCCCTCAGCACAAAGCTGGGCTAAACTGCAGGTCTCCTACACAGTGTGACATTTTTTCCAGACTCCAGGCACAAAGAATTGTGGTCAAAATTAAATTAACTCTACCAGTCTGCAAATTTCTAACATACAGTCAGTTGTTAAACTCAGGCTTCTGTGTCCCTTGAAAATAAGTGCATATCAGAATGGATCATACAGGGAGAAGCTTCCTCCCGCAACTTACAGCATCATCCAACAGTTTCCCTGTGCTCTTTTTCCCAGGAGACTTTGTTGGTGATGGTGAAGGAGATGGAAGGGGGGTTGAAAGTGTTTCCTCTTGTTCAATCTCTTTTTCCAGCTTAATTAACCCAGGAGGCTCCACCCCAAACCTTTTGGAAACAAGAAAACATATATTACTACTGTTTATAAAGTATTTCATATTTTAAAGCAAAACTGTGAAAGGAATTTATACTGTCTGTATTACACTATTGTGCAATAACAGATTGCTACATATAGTAATAAAGAAGTATGAAAGATATCAATCATTAATACCACCATTCCAAATTAATACAAATAATTAATTTAAATGGCATCTCTCAGGTGATCAAATTTATAGGAAATACAGTTTTTCTTCAACTTCTCTGTCTGATAACATAGGTTCGTGAATGATTAATTTAAAAACAGCACTAGGCCTCAAAAATTGCTGTACCATGTGGGCCAGATTCAAGTTCAGTACCTGTTACTCTTTCTTTTCTTCCCTCCTTACCCCAAACAGCATCATTTCAAACTATTTAACAACTTCCATATTCTGTTAGTATTTCTCAAAGCAAACCAGATGAAAAGGGATTAAAGGTTATTCTGATCTCAACTACTGCACTGAATTTATAGATAAACAGAGACATGGCCAATATTTTTCAGAAGCAGCTAATACTTTTTCTAACCAATTTTTGGAAGCCAATCTTCAGATGTCTGTTTACAGTGGTAAAACACTTGTAGCTCCAACTAAAACAGAATATATGCAGCACTGGCATGGAGCATCACTTGGAGAGCAAGGCCCTCTAAAACAATGTCTACTTTTGAAAGCTTTATGGTGAGTGATTAAGTCAGTACCCCACTGCAAGCAGCAGAGCTTGGACAGATGTAAGCAAAGCCAATCCCATTTTCCTAATTACTGATAACTCCCTTCTGTTTTGTTGTGGGTGGCTTTTTTTTTTTTTTTTTTTTTTTTTTTTTACCATATATATACACAACCATAAAGTTATAAAGATTTCCTCTTTCAGAGAAGGGCTTGAAAAAGTTATCATGTCAGGTAGGCTTCTCATAGCAAACTCCCTGCAGAGATGAAACCATATTTTTCTTCTGCAATAAAAAAGTCTATAGTCCATATGCTGACTTATCTAGGTAAAGATCTGAACACTAAAATATTGAGCAGTAACAAACACATTCTGAAAATCTAAGCTAAATACCATACCAATGTTAAAAGTGTAGAGAGAAAGGGAACAAGCGCATTTACTGTCTTTCATACTTTTATGATAACTTTTACTTCAATCACACTACTGCCTACCAAATTAATATTAAGAAAACTAAGAACCAAATCTGTGCTTGTATTGGCTTCTAACTGGTGCAGTCTGCCTGATGAAAAACCAGCCAACATTGAAGCAAGCACTCACATACAATCCATTTACTTCCTGTCTGTCTGCAGATGCTGACAGGCTGTAAATCATTCAATTCCCATTGGGCTCCAAGCCTACACCTGCGTGCAGCCTTACTCATCAAATAAAATTCTTCCATTCTAAGCAATATTGCTTCTTTGCATCTACTGCTTCTCATAATCTCCAATTTTTGTCATTGTGAGAGACTGTTAAAGTTCCCTGTATTTCCAGTATTCTGAATTCATCTGCTAATGTGTTGAAAAATAAAGCAAATGACCAAACAAAACAAAGTTGCTGGAAAGCTGAAATGCTAAAAAATACTTTTCTGGGAGGGGTAGGGGTGCAAATTCTGTTCTGGAAGATATGCTGAGAATTTCCTTTTCTGTTCTTTTTTAGCCTGCCTTCTTGTAACTACAAATGAAGCAGCACTTGGTCTGTAACATGATCTCCAATAGACTTCTTAGAGCACCACTTCCCATTTTTACCAAGGAACAACTGAAAACAATAGGAGAAAGATCTTGAAATCATTCACCGGTAATTTCAAAAGACTTGTGGGTTTTTTTTACCACCCTAGACTTTAATAGTTAACCAAGAACTTCATTCTTTCTACAGAAAAGATAATTTAGCTGTTTTCCATTGTATAATCTCCCTTTAAACATACACACAGACAGCACATATACATCTATTTGCAAATAGTTACATTTTCCATGAAGTCTTGATCATAAAGATTACACAGATTACGCAGTGATGAGTTCTGTCCTCTCATCAGTAGAGTTTAAATGATTCAATCTGACTTCAAAATACTTGTGAGAATGTTAGACTTGTGCAACTCCCTGCAATAGTTGTATGTATTGTCAGTGCTCAGTTCCATCCCATAGGACACTTCCCTCTCCTAAAGGTTCTCACTCTACCCACCTGATATCTGCAGGTACATACAACAGCTACTGAAATTTCACAGACAGGCTCAAAATTTTGTTTTCATAAACAACTGAAATCCAGGTTGGATCATGCTACTTATTTTTTGTTAGTACCTGGGTTTTGAACTGTCACTCTTTGAGTCAAGTGCTCACACCAGTTTTCTGCTCACTGTGTAGTCCACCCCTTCAGTCCATCTCTCTCAAAATGGGCTAAAAGGACACTACAAGAGAATGTGCTAAGAGCATTGCTAAAGCAGAGGTAAATTATCAGCTGTCTCCCCTTATCCACAGGGTATCTGTTGAACCAGTTCAAGTTGAGCAGAACAGAGCTCAGTTCTACCTCTGCCTCAAACAGTTCCCATTCCCTCTCATTTCTGCCTCAATCCCAAGACTAATTTCATTAAAAAGAAGGACCTAGGTTGACTTGTGGGAGTTACAGACCCTGAAGACTAACAGAAAACTAGCTGGGCAAAGTGTGCAAGAAGCTAGGTCCTTGTGATGAATAAGTCACTTTGAACATACCTTTCTGCTTCTAAAACAGAAAAGGAAGAAAAAAGTAAGGAGATATTCAGTGTCTCTTACCCATTTAATCCTTTACAAACATACTGAGTCACCTTTTCAAAAGTCTTTGTGGCTCCTGTTCAGAAAAGCAGACCCTTGAGACTGTCAGCAGACCTAATTTGCTTTATAAAGGAACCATACATCTCACTTCTCTCCTGTTCAAAGCAGTACAGCAACATCAATTTTACGTGCTCCTTAGAGGAGGCAACTGTCTATTTTTCTCCACGTAGTTCTAGTTTAGCACACCTCAGGCAAAACTGGCATCACATATTTTCAATTATGTTAACCTGATGTTCCCTTTCAATGGTTTTTGTGTACCTTGGAAACTGTAAATGGGTTTTTGTTTGTTTTCCAACAGATATTAGAGCAGAAAATGTAGACAGACATGTTATTTGACACCTAAGCTATAAACAAAAATAAAATACAGTACAATAAATAAAATATACAAATTGCATTAATGATATATGGTAATATACATGCATTAGAAATAAAGATTAAAATATTTTAAAGGCAAAGTGATAGATATGCACAAGAAAGGAAAACATGATTCATTAACTGGTTCAGTATTTGTTTTCATGCCTGGGAGAATAAATATCTGAGACACAGAAGTTTAAGACAAATATGAAGGGTAAGATACTGTCTTAACTCCCTTGTAGGTCTGTTGAGAAATCAAATCTCATTGCAAAGTGAGATGAATCTAACCTGACCAACTTCAGCAGACTTCAACACTACCTATCCACTGACCTGCAATCCCTGAGGAAGCTGGATACTATCCAGTAATGAACCTGCAGCAGGTATAGGGTCTTTGGATGCTGGAAGATCTATCTCCAAGCTGGGGGTTTTGAAAGGACAATCTATTTGTGCAGGAAAATTCAGATTCATGAGAATCAATTTCATTGAACACCTACAAATCTGAAGACTTACTTATTCATGGAAAGTGAAATTCACTTAAACATTAAAATTAACATTAAAATTTAAACATTAAAATACTAGTTCTTAAGCTAGGAGTAAAGAGGGATATTCTTCACATTGATTGTAGCCACAAGGAATTATGCTGAAATTAATAAAACTATTTGAATAGCAAGACACTCCAGTTTGATACAAGTGGGTGACTGGAACTGCAATTTACTTGCAAGACTGGGCAGTAGCACTGCTGCACATGGATGATGTAGCAAATCTTATGAGCTACACTTGTTAAATCTGCATCTGCAAAAAGGGAGGAAAAAACAAACCACACTCTAATTACAGTAAATTTGATTGTCTAGCAAAAGGTAGTGTTGTCTTGATAGCAAAGATAATAGTACAGTGTACTGAGGGTCCAGTCTGACTAGAAAAATCTGACAGAAAGGGAACACAGACTGATAATTCAATTTGTGTCTCATTTCTCTTGGTGAAAATCTCAGCTAAGTTTTAAATAAATGAGTCACTGTTACTTAGATCATATTTAGGTAATCTGAAGATTGATTTATTGTAAGTTAATGAAATCACATTTGTTTATAGAGAGACTTGACAGAAGGAGAAACAGCTCAAAGCTTTATTTAGAAAAACATTCTCAACTCTTCCAACAAATGGGTAGCCAACAAAAACCTTAATTGAGGGGATGGGAAAGAGATTTTAGTGTATTTGCTAACAAGTGCCCACAAGATGTTCTTGAGTGAGATCAGGACACGTATTCTCCTTGAACTTAATAAGCATAGAAGTTACCTTGAGATGTTCTAATTTCCACTGCTGTCAAGAATGTAAATATTTCTTCATTCTTTAAATATTTTCACCTACCTTGCTGCAATCCTTCCAAGTTCCAGCAAACAAAGGCACACCTCTCTTGGCTGCTTGTGAAGAACTGGGAAAGTAAAATTAAGATGGAAAACTTTGATAAATAAAAGGTATTTGAAAGATCTTAGTGATGAATGGAACCTAATCAACATCTGTAACTCTTGACTCAGATGAAATTTTGTTTTCTTTGGCTTGCAGTAGAATTTTACTGAAATAAAAAGGGTGGGATTGAGGAATGGTTCTCAGAGTGCAGACAATTTAGGAACTTCCCATTTAGTTATCCTTTGAAAAATATCATTCTAAATCTAAATCCCTGAGTAGTCATTTGGGCAAGCAGTTCACAACTATTAAAAAATAATCAAGAGCTCTGGCAAAACACTAAAATTCATAGAATGTCAAAAATAAATGAATAACATTAAAGCAATACTCTTCTTTCTATAAACTAAAAAAATTCCTATCCTTTAGATCACTATTTTTCTTAGCCTACTTAAATCACAAAAATAACAAAAATGCACTAGAAAATACATAAATTTGGTCCTGAATTTGCTATACATCTACTCTTAAAGACAATAAGAAATCAGAATACTTTAGGAAAAAAAAAACAAAACAATGAAACTTTTTTTTTCTTCTGTATATATATATACACACACACACATATATATATATATACACACAATCACACACAAGTTTCAGTGCCTGCATTCCACATAAGACCTGTCATTTATAGGCTTCAGAAACAGCTGGAACACAGCATGAACTTCTCATTAGGAAATATCACCATAAACCAAGACAATTATTTTTTTAAATCCACAATTCAGACAGACAACTTTCTGTAGATAAGTCCATCAAAATATATAAGCAAATTCCAAAAATCAAAGAAGAAGAAAAGCCTGTTACTGTTTACATAATCGACTCCACAAAAGTCTAAAAAAGAATAAATGAAAAGACAAAAAAAAAAAAAAAAATTATGAGCATATTGTTAATCTTCTCTCCAGAAATACTTGTTGGAATAAATGCCTCATGTTGTGCATAAAATTTAGGTTTTAGAAATTTAAAAAAATATAAAAATATTTGCAACTCATACTTCAGATTGAACTGACACACAAAAAAATTGTGTTAATACTTTTATAGATATTAAAAAAAAAGAAGAAGAAGAAATTGCAACAGAATGAGTCAAGGTCAAGACATCTGCTGTGTAAATATTTTGGTTATCTAAAGACTCACCTAATTCAAATGCATGAAGAAAAAAAAATACCCTACCTGAAAAAGATATTTCAGTGTCTAGTTAAAGCTCTGAAAATCATTGCTTTGTTGTATATTCTATGAATGAGACCCAGAATAGGAATCCACATACTTAAACATCTCTCAATAACTAACACCAACTGGGCCACATCTTTAGCTTCTGCAACTTCAACTTCCAGCTCCACTGACTTGAATAAGTGTACAGTAAATGGTGTGAGCTTAATGCTCACCCCATTATCTTTTACTGGTGCATATGTAGCCCTTTGAGATGTGTGCATTGTTCCTCTCTAATCTCATCCAAATATACTTCCAGAAGTGAAACTGCACAGCAGGGAAGCTAAAATGGCACTGTATTAGGAAATGTATTTTTATCCTTCAGCCACCTGCTATTAAAAATATAAAAGATGCAGACTTGGACATTCAGCTATTCTCAATATTCTTCCTTGCCACAACACAACAAGTTTATTAAACATTTACCTCTACTAGAAATCAGTCTTTTTTAAAGTGTTACATTCATGACCCTAGAAAAGTAGTCTGCTACTTTGGTTTTAAACCAGTTGTGACTGCCCCAAAATAAAACTTGATTTTGCAAAATAAGGCATCCCCCAAAATATAAATGGAATAAATTCATTTTGGAGCAGTTAAAGGGAGTCCAGTACTTCTGAATTGCAATTAACACATAAGCACATCTGAGTGACTTTGTAAAGGGGGAGAAATAGAGAGGCTCAAATTGTATTATTTGCAAAAAGATCCATAAATAGAACAGGAAGAGGATTTGATTAAGAAAAGTAAAGTGTTTTTTCTGTCAGTGCTTCAAGCTTTTCTACCCAAACAGAATTCAAAGTCCTTAAGCACATCTGATTCAACATAATCTAGACATATTTCATGCATTTCACATCAAACAATGTGACACAGTGAAATAATTGTTAGAGAATGAGGAGCTGTGCAGGCAATAACCAGCCACAAAAACAAACATCTGGTCATCTGATAAGAAGACCATAACACAGCACTTCTAACAAGAAAAGGTTAGCATTCCTGAGGACTATACCAGCATATGAACTCGGGAACTTTGGGGACAAACAACCGTTATTTTGAATACTGCAATGCCCACTGGAAATAATTTAGACTCTCAAATTATTTTTTTTATTTTTTTTTACCAGCCACAAAAACAAACATCTTGGGCTACCACCTCATAAGAGGCTGGTCAGGAGTTACAGCAAATGCTGGGGAGACACAAGACTTCATTTCTTCACCCATCTTGGCCCCAAACATTCAGTACAACCTTGAGTGAGCAAATGAGACTGTTGCTTTTTGTATAATTAGCATTTTTTACTGCTTTGATTTCTGAGTATTTCTTTTGAGATACTTTATATTTACAACCACTTTCACTTAGACTGCCTCCTAGACTTTTGGAAAAAAGAAATCTTTACACTTTTTTCCATTTAGAAAACAGAAAGATAAACTTTTCTTACATTTCCTTTCTTAGTTTTAATTATATAAGTTTGAGTTCATTGATATTTTTTGAAGCACTTTAAGGTATCTGTGAGAAGAGATAGTAAAAACTATTTCAGAGACATCACACTGTGTTAAAATAATTTCGTTATTTAAAATAAGTATGCCACTAGATAAAGAGACTCTGTAGAAGTCCTCATAATTCACACTTAAATTCTCACTGTACTCTAACATAAATTCACATTTAAATTCTGACTATACTGCACTTCATGACTGACTTCACTACATACATGTACACTGTTATAAACATGTAAGTATACATCAATATATTTAACTAATATAATTTTAGGACTGCAGTCAATTTATTCTGAAGTAATTGGTTACAAGCTCAGACATCCATACGACATCCATACCCTTGGTATCTTGTTAAAATTGTGAGAACTACATCTATCATTTTCAGAATTCATTAGTATAATTTAAATTAACAGTTGCATTTCATGACCTCAGCCTTTTCACCTGACTAGTTACTTAATCCCAGATACCCTGTATGGCAAACAGACATTTGCTAAGCAACACATTTTCTGTCATTGTAGCAATTTATATGCACTAAGACATGGCAAGTACTCTAAATGGAAACATTATTTTGAGAAACTTTCTATCTTCATTCTGTCTATGGCCACGTACACAAGTGCCTACACATCATTTGAATTCTACAGTCAACTACTCATTTTCACAACAGTGTTACTGTATGCTGTGAAGAATTCAAATTAAAAAAACAAAGAAGGAAGTTTTCTCTAACACTTGTATGAGGTAAATAGTATTATTATCCCCATCTTATACACTGATTCAAGGCATAGGTGTTAGATACAAAAAACCCCACACCTATGTAGGTGCTATTCTAAAATTCTTACTGCCTGATCTCCAGGGAACTGCTTAGTTTCCTAATCCTACATTTTGCATGAAATAAAAGCCAACACAACTAATGATCCCATTACAAAGTCTGGTTGGATCCTCCTGATGTGTGTGGAAGTTTTGTGATAGAACCACAGTCATTTCTGCTAACACCATTTCATAGCAAGATCAAAATACTGTCCTTCAGCACCTTGCATCATTCTCCAGATATCTTCAGATTTGTGCAACGAATGAGGCACGTGAGGAGAAAATGCCATACCAGTAAGAGATTCTTTCATTTCATGAGCCACACCATACTAGGCTGTTAGCAGGGCAAGGTCCAAGAGCATTCAAAACAAAAAAAACAAACATGAGGGTTTTTTGGTTTGTCTCCTTTTTCTTTTTCTTTAAAATTAAATTTAAAAAAAAATTAAAAACCAACCAAAAGAAGAAACCCAAACCCCAACAACTTGGCAGAATACCCAACCAGAATGCAGGAACAAGCTTCTTACACCTCCCTGCCAAGTTTCAAGTCTCTGCTCCTAACGTTTTTAGAAACCATTTTTAGCAGTTTTCCTTCTAAACAAACTTTTTTTTTTAAAGATAAAAAGAGATCTCAGGTGTAACTGAATCAAAAAAAAGATATGATTTCTGCTTCTAAGGCATTTTTTACATCACTAGAAGTGATTTTCTAAAGTGGTTGAATGTTTTCTCTCACAGGCTTCAAATCACCATCAGAATGCACACGTTTAGGGAAGGTTTTTCAAAAGGTTGATCCTTTGATCCTCCTTCCTATTGTCTTGTTTGTGTTTTTTTTTCCTTTGACACTTTTTCTTCTAATCCTACAGTAGCCTTTTTTATTTTTTTAATGTTGCTTTGACAAGGGTTACTCTGTTCAGCTTATCCCAAACACATCCTTGCTTCTGCATCAGAGTTATACTATGACATACTTAAATCAAGGAGTATTTTCCTCCCCTAGTCCCCATTGGAGCACTATCACTTATCTCAAACAATCAACATTTCAAACAGTAGATCTGTGGAGAGCAGAGAATTAATCTAGAATGAACACAGATCACCTAAACACTAATCATTTACCGGGATTCAGCAATTTAAGATGCTAATTCAATGGCAATAACAGTGTCCAGGATGCTTCTATAGTCCTCAAAACAAGACCTATCAACAACAGTACAAGCTGTTTAGTAAAATGCTGTGACAGACAGGACAAAGTCTTATTCTGATGCAACTATATGCAAAATATAACATGCTATTATAAGCTGTAAATGTGTCACTGTGAAAGAATTGTACTTCCATCTTGTAAAATGAAACTAGATAACTAGAGTATTCATTAAGAAAATTATTTGCCCCATAAAATATTTTCAAGCAACAAACATTTGAGTGTTTTTTTAAAAAAAATAACTGAAAGACCCCCACACTGGAATAGAGATCAGAGGTGTTTGTGTTTAAGTCTATTATTTCCAACAACACTGGGTGCCTTTACTTAGGGAATGTATCCATTAAACTCTACAATTAAACAATTGCATCAAAAGAAGTCCAGGTCCTATATTATGTGTACACACTCACAGTTACAAAATATACAAGCAGAAAACATTTACACAACCATGTCATCCAACAACTCCCAAAACAAATAACACACACTAGCATGCTAGCACATTTGGTGGCAAACCCTTTTCTTGCCAGGTGAAGTCTTTATCATAGGAGAGATGCAGAATATTCATCGGTTCCAAATCCTATAATCATCCAACAACACCACATTACTAACAAAGAGTTCATCAAAGTGTAAGTTCAATTCCCTACAGCAATCAGAAAATGTTACCAATCTACCTGGCCAAGAAGAGCTTTCTTCAAGTGTTACACTCTTCAGGCTTGAGCACCATAATTACCAATACCTCCAACAAGAATGCTTCTATCAGTTGAATTTCCACAGCTGTGTGGATCTGCTCCCCTAAAAAGGGGAACTTACAAAACACACATGGGAACAAAGGAGTTACAGACAGTATTACTTCTCTTAGTCTGAAAAGAGCTAGTGCATTATGTTCCAAGTCCAAGATATGGGACAAATTGTGAACTCTGATATGTCTAAGAGCCTTATTATTCAAAGACAATATGTGTCAAGATTTGCCTAGATGATGAAAGTTCACATTCAAATCATAGTTTTTGATAGCCACAAAGCTAATTCCTTCTTCTTTAAACACACTAACTATAAAAATAATTAAGAAAAGCATGCTAAATTTGCTAATGAGTGCAGGGAGCACACAGACTTTCCCTCTATTTTGCAGCATTCAGGATTATCCCTACATAGCATGTTGCTGTATTTGTTACAGATGCTAATGCACAGCATCCACCTTTTCTTTGCAGAGGCATTAACTCTGAGACTTCCCTGCCATGTCATTTTATGAAGCTAAGTGCAAAGGGAAAAATATGTATAGACTGGGACACGTCAGCTCTGGCTTTCACATAAATCTTTACAGAAAACTGTATTTACAATTTGTTTGTATTTTAAATTATGTTAAAGTGTCATTCAGCAAGACAAAATATGTTATATTATAGACTACTAACTGAAACTTACTGGTATGAGTGCAATGTTTTCACACTTTTGAGCTCTGTTCTGATCTCTTTCAAGATCTTTAAAGTAACTCTATGGATTGGAAGGCATAATCATATTTACCAGCATAACAAATGCCACTTACTTTTTTCTTCTATTTATTTTGAAGACAGACTTTGATCTTGATTTCCCCACTCAAATCCAACAAAGCAATTGAACCCATGTCTAACTTTAAGTAATTAGTCTATTCAACAATAATACATCTTTGTCAATGCATCTTTAAAATTACTCTTATAATGTTAAAATGGAAATTTACCAGAAAAAAAGCCTCAATAGTGTTTATGTGATACAGTGGCATGAAGAAAATATCACTGTTGATTTAACTAAATAATACAGTATTTACACACAAGGAAGGCATAATACATTAAAAAAGGAAGATAAAAATCAAATCAATTAAGAATATAAACATAGTAAAGTTCCTCAGTATAGAGAAAAATAGTTGTTTTTATCGCTAGTAATTTACACATTAATACAGTTTATTGGCCATGGGGAAAAACCACAGGAAGCATAAAACCAGTTACCTCTGTAACCAACATTTTATCACAATTATTTCCTTTCAAAATTACAGCAGACTTCCACAAAGCACTATGAACTCAGATGGCATTCACACATGTTTCTCACCACTTTGGACAGAAGCTTTGATATTACTTACTTTTGTTGCAGTTTTAGTTCTTATGCAGTGGAGAAGTGACTTGTGGGAGAGAGGAGCATAAAAACTTTAGATCAGCAACTGTCATGATTTATCATTATTTCTAATGCACTAGAAAAACCTCAAATGAAATCAAAACTTATAACAGTTCTAGCTCAAACCAGGGGAGAACTGTAGCTTCTATTTTTATCTTTTTTTTTTTAGAAGTGGCACCATCACTGTCCCTGTCTCAAGTTGAGAAAAATAGGTCGAAATATTATCAAACCCCAATCTTATTTAAGTCTCTTCAGTGTTTGTGTTCTATAAACAGCAACACTAGGGGAAGGAAAACAACAGAACCTTGATTTCAATCAGTGAAGAAAAATCAGTCCCTTATCAAACAAATCTAATTCAGCCAAATCTGATTTGTGCATTGTGTATCTGAGCATATTTCATTTATCTGAAAGAGGAAGTCATCTTGAACATCAGCTTTCCAGGTGTGTTTGCACTCAGTGTTGTACTGTGACAGGCAAAGCAGCATGTATGTGTAAAAATTAACTTCTCCAGGGAATGTTGGTATTTCAGCTATGTCAATTCCATCTTCAAACAAGACCATTTTTTAACAATGTACAAGAAAATTCCTTATAAACACACTTCCAATTACACAGGTAACCTATTATTGGGACAAGGATAAATGGCTGAGTTTACCATAACAGTACAAAATCTAAATTCATGTAAGTGTTGGATTGATCAGAGGTTCTTCTCCTTATCTCAGACACTGGAGGTCTGTCTCCTTGCTTCTTGTGTTTGCAAATTTCTTTATCCTAGGCAATGTCTAACTTCAAAATTTCAAGTCCTTGGAAATACAGTTATTGTTCACCTTCCACATGAATTACCACATCCAATAAAAAATTCATGTTGAGGATTTAATTAACAAATTGTTCATTCATATATCCTTACTATGTCATCTTTCTGATACTAATTTCCTTCTCTGTCAAGCATTTTTTCCTAAGAATAGAAAAGAATTTAGTTAAAAAAACCTCACAGGTTAAAAGAACAGACAAATGAAAAAAAATTGCTTCAGAAAGAGTTGTGCTAGAAGAGCAAGACTGTAAAAGAATGGGATTAGGTTAGTTGCAACACAGGTAAAAACTTTAACTGGGCAGTAAACAACCTTTTGAGCACCAGAACTAAGAAGCCTTTTAATTCTGTACAGTGTATTAATTTGTCTTCTATAGGAACCGAGCTCTCTATGATCACAACTACTTTACACTTTCATCTGAATTCACATCACAAACATTTGATTCATAAGTTTTCCTTTGAAAAAAGAAGAGTTAAAATAATGAGGAATAAATAATATTAGAACAGTGGGTTCATAAACAGGCCAGTTCTTTTGAAGGAACATGCTGAAGCACTAGTGAATCAGCTGGAAAAAAGGTCAGTATAGTATGCAGAGAAAACTTTCCCGTTTTCTTGCTTCCTGAGCAACACAATGAATCTGCATAAATAGCTAAATATCTCCAGCCAAAACTGAGCATGCACTTGTATCCTACTCTCCTGAAGTAGAAGAGAACTATTTTACACATCAGACTAAGGAACAGCATTCCATGAACAAAAAGCATGTGTATGGTGAAAAATCAGCTGTGTCAAGAAATCATTGCAAGAGATTTGTCTCATTTAAACTCCTCTTAGAATTGACTTAAATGAAGTTTACATGATGTGTACTTTATTTGTTCATGCTTCAGGTGAGGGGTGGAATCAACACAGTCAGATTTGGAGTCTATTAAGAGCCATTCTGTCTTTCAAAGCAAAAGACAAAAGAAAAGTTATTTAAAATTACCAACTACTGTATAATCAAATACATACCCAAACCTTCTGACTCAAACAGGCAGGTATCATCCACCCCTACATCTCTGCACCAGGATAAGAAATTTGCTGTGTTGTCTCGTGCAAAAAAAGACCCAGAAGGAGCATTGGCTTTGCATGGAATCTTCCGTACTGGTAAGGTCTGGAAAACAGAAGTTCTCTATTTAGATAAAAAACACTTTTGAGCATAGTACTTGAATATTCTGAAATCAAAACACAAGTTCTGCATGGATGAATGACTACAGAGCTACCAATGTATCTCCTTGTCCATTAAAGAATTCCAAGCACACAAGAATGAGAAGTGAATTTAATGACACAAACTTGTCAACATCACCAATCTTCAAAAGCATCATGATTGCCTGTGTGATGTGAAGTACTGATCTGAATCAGTATTAGCAATATTTTACAGTATTAGCAACAACAATTTTGGGACTTAGTGTTTGGTTCAGTTCACTGAATTGAAAGAGAAGGAAAAAAAAACTATGAAGAGAGACTTTAATTCTGAAAAATTCAGTCCTGGTTTAAAGGTGAATTAATTTCAGATCTATGTCAGGAGAGAGCCAGTTTAAAGCATAAGGTCTTGTGGACTAAAAACCATAAACACTTCAGAAGCACCACTGTCTCCCATTTAACAACACAAACAAGCCTCCTAACCACAACACAGAAACATAATCTAGTAGGTACAAGAACACACAAAGTATACCAGAGCAGTCCTGTTTACACGGTTTTGGTATTAGAGGAGATGCTACTGATATAGCATATCAATATCTGAACCCAACACAGTGATACCAAAGCAAGTTTCTTTTAGCATACTTTTTAAAAGGAGAGGAAGGAAGAAAGTAGGGAAGACAGTTAAAAATCCAGAATACATAAATAAAAAAACATAACTTGAATTCTTTCAGGGACCTCTAGATATGGAACAATCCTACAGATGAGAGCACAGGGAAGTTGTTAACAATTCTTTGAAAACTCCTTCCATTCTTCCAGAGCGTGGGGTGGGGAAGTGTTCAGTTCCTCACAGACCAGGGCTTTCTTTTCTTTTTC